CACCACCCAAGAAGACCCTCACCAAATGTGTTCCCTGGACTGTGGACTTCCCAGCCTCTGAAACTATAAGCAATAAATTTCACTTTTTTTTTTTTTTTTACAAATTACCCTGTTCTAGGTATTTTGTTATAAGCAACAGAAATGGACTAATACACAACCCAAGTGTTCATCAACAAATGAATAGATAAACAAATTATGTTTATGATTATGAGTAGTAGTATAGAATACTACCCAGCAATAAAAAGGAATGAGCTACTGGTATAACTTCACAAATAAATCTCTTTTTTTGTCCTTTTTGAGACTGGCCGCACCGCGCTCAGCCAGTGAGCACACCGGCCATCACTATACAGGATCCGAACCTGCGGCGGGAGCACCGCTGCGCTCCCAGCGCCGCACTCTCCCAAGTGCGCCATGGGCTTGGCCCACAAATAAATCTTAAAAAAAAATTTTGTCAAGAGAAAGAAGTATACATACTGTACATACTGTATGATTCCATTTATACGAAGTTCTAGAGTTGCCAAATCTAATCCATAGTGACCAAACACAGATCATTGGTAGCAGGGGTGGGCAAGGGTGGAGAGACACTGAAATACTGACTGGAAAGGGGCAAGAAGGAATTTTTGTGGTGATGGAAATATTCTCTAATTTGTGGTGTGATTGTGGCATAGCTGCTGGGGTGTATACCTCTGTCAAAACTTAATTTTACACCTAAAATGGGTGCATCTTATTCATATAGTAAACATGCATAGCGCACAAAATATACACAATTTACATAATTTATACATGATATATGTGTATCATATAATTTACATAATTAAGTTATGTCTCAATAAAATTTTTTTATTTTTAGGAGAGGTTCCATTGTGTGAAAATGAATGTTAATTGACAAGGGACTCCACAGCTCACCTCCACCATCTGGTCATCTGCCTGAGGAAAGAGAAAGTGTGCCTAGAGAGGGAGAGCTCAGAGCTTAAGGTTTCTCTTGCTCAGAAAGCCAAGGTCTCACCTGTACTAGGTAGTAGCCACTGGCCGAACAGAGCTGCAAAGTGGGGCTCTCACTGTCACATTCAAACTGGAATAAGGACATCGGGGTTATGTGCTCAGAGGCAGCACACACTTCAGCATCTGCAGAGGAAGTGCATGTCAGCAGAAGCCCAAATCTGGCCTCACCCTTGGCCTCAGCCCCTCTTCCACGCTTCATCACTGGCCTTCCCTCTACTTTCCCCTCTCAATCTTCATCACATTATATTGGACCATAGTAGTCTGGAGATGACCCGGGTGACTTCCCCTAAAAGCCCATATCCCTGATTTTCTGACCTTTCCTATGCCACAGAGATCCCCTTGGGACCCCAGGATCATGCTTATGAGTAGGTTCAAAAATCCTTGCTGATCTCGAACATACTTTCCTCTTTTCAGCAGCCAGCCCTTCCTCCCTCCATGGCTGTGTTGGACCCAGCACTTGCCATAGATGACCGAGATGAACTTCCGAGTCTTTGACCTGAGGCTGACCCAGGTGGGACAGTGCTGCAGGATGAACCACTCCTCACCCCTCACAGGATTGGAGCCCAGTCCCAGGAGCAGATGCGTGCCCTGTGGATATAACATGCCTCCTTCCCCATCGCACAGTGCCACAAACCCTCCAGGCCGCACTTGCATGTGAAAAGCTGTCTGTGATGAGGGTTGGGAGACCAGCCGGTCTACATGGGACAAGAAGTGGTGTGTAGAGGTCTCCAGGTGGTAGCATCCATCTTGGAAATGCAACAGGAAGCCACATTCCTCCAGGCAGGGGACTGCTGCGTCCACCCAGATGCGACCCACGGTGGGGTCGGCCCGAGCATAGCAGTGATGGATGGGGCTATAGAGGATCACATGTACATGCAGGGCTGGCTGGGGGGTCCACATGTGGTAAGCTGAGAGGACCCGGGAGCTGCAGAACACAGCCTCGCCGTTGGACTCCAGATAACGACCAGATATTAAGCACTGGAGGGTCCACTTGCCATTCCGGTGAAAACGGAGTAGGAAGCATCCATGGTGGCTGGTCCTTGGCCGGCTGTAGCACACAGTGCCATCCCCCTCACACAGAAGGTAGAAGCCCTGCAAGCTCTTTAGTCGCACCACGGCCTGTGTATCATGCTCATTGCTCACTAGGAGCTCCCAAGTCTGAAGGTATCGGGAGGGAGGAGAGCGAAATCAGTACTGCCAAGTGACTAGGCCAAGGAGCCCTATAACCATCCCTGCTGGTATCACCCCAGCACCTTCATCAAGACCAACCACCTTCCCCTCCTCACCAGATCTGCTGTCTCCTTGCTGTCAGCTCTTCCTCTGTCCCAACCAACAGTAACCAAAAGATCTCTGGGCCCCTCCACCACTGGAGCCATAGGGCTTCTCAAGATCCAAAGAAGTTCTAGACGCCCACCTCCTACAGCTAACAATAGGTAAGTTTCCTTCTCTCTTCCTTGATCCCATCCTTCAATACCTAATTTTCTAAGAAGTGCTTTGGTTTAAGTCTTACCTCTTTCTTCCTCACTGTGTCCTCTGGATAACACACTCAGCCAATACCTGCAGTCCCAAAGGCCACCTCCCCAACATGGCAGGAGAATAGCAAGAGCTCCTATAGGAAGGCCCAGGCTCCAGGAATGGAGACGGGAGCACACACAGTTGAGGTGCAATTGACTGGTTCAGTTGTGGTCAGCCTTGTTATAAGTGACAGGACTTTGCTCCTGCCTCACTCTGGCACCCATCCCAGAGGAACCTCCACTCCTCTCTAAATTGAAAACCAACTCTGCTAGGGCTTCTATAGTACCCCATTCTCAAACAACAACCGGAACAGAAACATAGGCCTTGCAATAGCCCTACTGGCCCAATTTCCCCTGGATGCCCACAATTGTGCCTTCAGCCTGGGCTCTCTACCTCTCCTCTCTGTATTGACACAACCACCCCCGTGCTGGGATGGTGGGTAGGGAGCAGCTGGAGTAGGACAAGGCAGCAAGGCCAGGGCTGAGCTTCACCTTGTGGGATAGGTTTAGAGAGGGGAGGGAGAGCAATGGAGACCGATGAGCAAAAGCCTGGAGAAGAAGGGCCTTGGCCTGGCAATGGCAGAACTAGGAAAGTGATCAGGTTGAGAGTGCACTGCTCCCCTCCCTGCAACGTGCGCACACACACACGGACACACAGAAGAGAGCTTAACCACTTGGAAAACTGGTTCCAGTACACATCTCTTTTGTTACCTGTCTCCTGCCCAAGCTCTTCGCAGTAGTGGTGACCATTTTCTTACATGGCTCAAAGGTGAGGTAGGTTCCTGCCCAGCAAATGAGTCCAATCCTTAGGTCCTCGACCTTGGGATGTCTGTGCATCCACTCCACCTCATCCATAGGGCCGGTGACACAGGTGATGACTCTGTCCAGCCCAGCCTTCCCCCCAGTGGTGAGGTTCCACAGGCCATAGGGCTGGGAATAAGGCCTGTAGTACCCACCAGAAGATGTCCCCAGAGGGAACTTCCCAGGCAAAAGCTGGCCTAGGGCCCTACGCCTCTGTGACCCGGGAGCATTGTGACTGTGAGGGCTGCCTCCTATCCCCACACAGTAGGGAAAGAGCACTGGCCCAGCAACTTCAATTTATGGCAGCCACAGAGAAAGTGGGTCCAGGGCCTCTAGCATCTGCCTTCCTATGCCACTCTGGGCACGAAGGTAGGTTAAAACTGGAAATTAGAAATTCAACCTGCAACTTTAGGGAAATACCTTCCTTTCTTTACTTCTGTTTCTCATTTTGATAACAGTATAGAAATCAACTTTTTTCCTCCCTAGGAATGGTTTCGCCTGGAGTTTTTGAGACTCAGTATTTTTTTTTAAGCTCGAGATATCAGAGAAAAATCTATCAGCTTTTATGGCCCTTGGGAAGACGAGCCCAAATTTCTCAGAAGTTACTTTGCAGAAAGTGTGAGAAAACCCTAGATAGATAACCAGCGAGGATCAACTTACTCATGTTAATCAGGCAGGGCTGGCTCAGGACCAGGGTAAGGAGAAAGGCCTCGGTGGAGAGAGTACCAAGCACCCTCCTCACCAATCCCTGGCTGTGCTGCTGGCGGGTAGGATAGCTGGCTGGGCAGACAGCCAGAGCTGCCTGTAAGAACAGCCTTATCCCTCCAAAGAGTCTCTGTTATCTAATAGTCTCTAGGTCTCACTTCCTGCAAAGCTCATGGACAAAACCCAGCCCAGACCTGGAAAAACTGACAACATAAAAGAAAAAGGGAGAAAGGCAAAAAGAAATGGTGGTGGTGATGATGGGTTTTGTTTAAGCTTTGCTTGGATTCACAGGGAAGTGGATAGAGTCAACCACATTTGGAGAAGAGCCCACGCCCCTGGTTCCTTACATGCACCTTTCTATTCCCAGGTAGAAGAGTCCCAGTAGTGCACAGCGAGGAACTGTAATTCCCAGGCTCCAACAATGCTTTGCAAATTAAGGCTAATAGACTACCAGTGCCAGAATCATCTGAGTAATTTTAAAGATGTATATTGTTGGGCCGCAGACCAGTCCTGGTGAATCACCTTTATGAAGCATGCCTCAGGACCCATGTTTTTAATGCATATTCCTACCCCCTCAAATTTTCATGTACAAAGCAATCATTAAAACTACTGCTCTAAATAGCTAGAAGGATGGGAAATGGAGTTACATGGTTTATGGAACCATGAAGGTAGATCCTGTTACTTTCAGCAAAGGCTCCTTGGAACTGGGGAAGGAATGAGGTTTTCTCCACTGGAAACCCTACAGTATTACTAGCCCAAGAATAAGGAGAGAGAAGTTGAGCTAGGTGAGGGTATGTTGTGTGATGCTGGTAGAGAGAGAGAGAGAGACAGAGAGAGAGAGAGAGAGAGATAGAGAGAGAGTGTGTGTGTGTGTAGGGCTGTTGGCCCTGCAGCCTTAGCTGCTTTAAGTGCCTCTCATATTGTCTTGCTGCACCTAATAACCCAGCGTCCTGCTTCTAGACTACAGACAACACTGTGTACAAATCACAGCAAATTTATTACCCAATATCCAGTGCCACATCATAGCACCACCCGAAGCCCTCATCTTCCCCCCAACCTGGCCCCAAGGGTACACCCAAAACAGAAAAAACAAAAGTAAACCCAGATCCCTGCTCCTCCTCTAGAAGAGGGCCTTGGCCAGGAAGCCTCTACTACAGGTCCCAGCAGGCAGGAGAGTGGACCCCTCTGCACCCAGAGGGTGAGGCGCCAGGCTCCAACAACAGAGAACATGCAGGCAGGAGCAGGAACAGAGGCCTGTGTCTGTGGGGGAGGAGAAGTGGGAGGGAAGGGCACTGCCTGAGGAGTCCGGGAGTCTGGTCATCCCGTGGATGAATGCGGGAGCTTCTGGGCAGCAGGGGCCTGCCCCTGGCTGGTTAGCGCTTTGACAGCTCATGGGACAGCCAATCCAGCCCATCATACAGGCCTGTGCCTTGGGTGGCACAGGTGGCCTGGACGTACCACTGTGGGGAGAAGGAAAGAAAAGAGGTCAGCAGTGGGGAAGAAGAAGGAATGCCTTTTCATCCTTGCCCCAGCCTGTGGTTTCCCTGGGAGGGGCAGGATCCACTGCGAGGTGGGCAGGACCCTCACCGTGCGGCTGCGCAAGTGCTGTAGCCCCAGCTTGTCAGTCAGTTCGCTCACGGGCATGGCGTTGGGCATGTCCTGCTTGTTGGCAAATACCAGCAGCACCGCATCCCGCAGCTCATCCTCCTGCAGCTGAGATGGGAGAAGAGATAGTGGAACCTGTGGTCCCAGTAGGGTCCCCAGGCTCCCTCTTCCCTGCTGTGTTGGGGAGCCCCCTTTTCTACCTCTAGCTTCTTTGTGGGAAAAATATAGTATAGTGTAGTCTATTGCTGAACACAAGACATAGAATTATACATGGGCTTGAGGCCACCTAAGCCTTAAGAGGCCTTTTTCTAATTTGAGTTCTTTTTTTTTTTTTTTTTAAAGATGACCGGTAAGGGGATCTTAACCCTTGACTTGGTGTTGTCAGCACCATGCTCACCCAGTGAGCGAACCGGCCATCCCTATGTGGGATCCGAACCCGGGGCCTTGGTGTTATCAGCACCGCACTCTCCCGAGTGAGCCACGGGCCGGCCCCTAATTTGAGTTCTTGCTATAGGAAAAATGACAATATTTTCAAATGGAAAAAACAAGAACGTAAGATGATGTTTTTCTCTACCACATATAATCCCCCTCTTGCCACCAACTTCTCAGACTCAGATGCAAAGGCACAAGAAATCACAGAACAACTCAGTCCTATCCAACACAGGGTGAGACACACAACATGTCTCTGTGTACAACGAGAACCATATTTTTGGCCTTTAAAGCCTGTGGAGGGTTCCCTGACTTCCACAGCACCACAGACAGAGGTCCCCAAGCTGAGGGCTCAGCTCCCAGGGCTCTGGGTACTCACCATCTTCTGGAGTTCATCAGCAGACTCCTGGACTCGCTCCCGGTCATTGCTGTCCACGACGAAGATGAGGCCCTGGGTAAGAAGGAAGGAAGGAACGAGAAAGCTATCATTCCTGCCTGAGACATACCCAAGTTTGGCCCTTTCTCTTTTCTTCCCATCTTTAGTTGTATCAACCGTTCTCATCTAGTAAACTTCTACTAGGGTTCTGCAGAAGTCCTGACACAAACTAGAGACACCACTGCAAAGGGTACAGACTCTCCTCTTGAGGAAGAAGTGTATCTAAAAGATGTGCAAGGGAACAGGGAAAGATATGAGAGTTAAATCAGACAGTGTGGCCCCAGAACCCTGCTTCTCAGGAGAAGTCTAAGGTGGCCAAGTCTCAGAAGACTAGGACCAGTTCTGAAAGATGAATAAAGGCTAGTCAACCAAAGGGGGTAGAAGGAGGGAAGTTTCTTCTTGGTCTGGGGGCCCAGCCTAGGCCAAGTCTCAGTCCTCCTACACCTAATACCTCTTCCCCTAGGGTTGGGGAGTCCCACACACACCCCACCTGAGTGTTCTGGAAGTAATGCCGCCACAGAGGCCGAATCTTGTCCTGGCCTCCCACATCCCAGACTGTAAAACAGATGTTCTTATATTCCACTGTTTCCACGTTGAAACCTGCAGATCATTGGAAAAAGTATGACAAAAAGTCCTTAAAGGAAGGAACTACTTAAACTAATTTGCATCGGGTTAGAATCTCCTTACCAGCCAGCTACCCCCCCCCCCCAAAAAAAAAAATCCAAAAAACCACTTGGATCTCAGCAGAAACACAAAATCAGAAGGCAATAATCAAGGCCCAGGGGAATAAAACCGCGGAGGATGGGCAGTCAACAGACGGGGTGGGGCTAGATCACACACATCCACCCAACCTCCCGGCACCAACCGGCATGTAGAGATACCGTGACCCACTTCTCAACTAGTATCTGGTGTCAGGGTCGGCTCCAGATAAGGGCCTCGGGCAGAACTGGGAGCAGACCCTGAGAAGGCCCGCCGCGCGCTCCCGTTCCTCCCTGCCTCGTCCCCAAGCTCACCTATGGTGGGGATGGTGGTGACAATCTCCCCCAACTTCAGTTTGTACAGGATTGTGGTCTTGCCAGCCGCATCCAAGCCGACTGTTAACAGAGAGTGGCACAGGGATGGAGAGGGGAGCGAGGGAGCCCCCTAGAGACCAGGGAAAGGGAGAGGCTAGGACAGCTGATGGTGACGGGGGCGGAGAGCAGGAGCGCCTCCAGGTGCGCGCTGATATCTACCTGCCGGGCCTTGAGGACAGTCTGGGTGGCAAGCGCCAACTCCTGCCCCTAAAGTCGGGGGGGTGGGGGTGAGGGATGGGGAGGACTGGGAAGGTAAGGGGCACGGGAGGAAGGCCGTGCTCCTTTCAAAAGTCGTCTCCAAGGGCGGAATCCTCCCTTCTTACCAGCCGGGCCGGGGCGGAGGGAGGTTCATCCCACCCAGGCCCGCAGCTCCGGGTCTCAGGCCTCGGGAGCGGCGCTGCAGACCGGGAGCCGCCCGAGAGCAGAGGCCTCGGAGGGTTAGGAGGTGGGACGCTCGGGGTCAGAGACCCAGGTGAGCCGGGCTAGAGGGACGCGGGGGCGGGAGGGCTGCGCCGGGGCCGGCGCCCGGTCCGGGCCGCGCGCTTGATTTGCCTCACCCATAAGGATCCGCATCTGCTTCTTTCCGAAGATCCGCGAAAAGAGCGCGGACACTGTGAGGCCC